GAGGGAGAGAGAAGAGAAGGTGAGAGGAGAAGAGAGGGAGAGAGAGAAGGAGAGAAGAGAAGGTGAGAACACAGATCCCACTCCCATCTTTGCAGACGTGCAGTCACGTCACACCCGGACCCTTGCTGCTGGCTGCTCTGACTGCCCAGAGCCTCTCCCCACTCCAGACCCTCCCACACACTGCTACCAAAGGGATCTTCCTGACCTGTAGGTGTGGCTCCGTCCCTACTCCCCTCCCAACGTCTCCCTCCGAGCTCCCACAACCCGGCCCCTTCCTCCCTCTGCACTCTTCTTTCCCCTTCTGGTCTGTGACCCAGAGACGCTCTGGGGACTTTCCCTGGGTATGAAACATCTCTCACTCTGTCCAGCTTTTTGGGTGTGTTGGTTAGCTTTGAAAGACTTTTTTTCCTTCTCTTTTAATTCTTTGTCACCAGGCAAGGCCCTTTTTGAGTAGAAGAGAAGGGAGGGAAGGAAGGGGATGTCAAACTAAAGACAAAAAAGCAGATGTGCTGGTCTTCTCTCCTCAGGGGGGCAGGCAGCACACTATTGAAGGTAGCGCCCTATCCCCTCATGCCTCTGAACACAGTGTGGCCCCTGGAAAGGAGGTTCGTGCCCAGCTCCTCCCAGCGGAAGAAATCTCTTGGTTTCACGCTCCCCCTCCTTGGCCCTCAGCAGAGGGTGGCGCATTCAGCAATGCCTGTTGTGATACTGATGCCCAGAAGTCACTCTACTGCCGGGCCAGATTGCTGAGTGCCCCCATTGGTGCAGAGGGATGATCATAACGAGAGCTAGCCTGTCTGCAGCCTTTAATGTTTGCAGAGTACTTTGCAGGCACGGTCTCATTTGAAGGCTAGGGTTGCAGAGGGAAAAGTGAAACCCAGAGAGATGGCAATCGATGGCTCAGGGCCACACAGGTAGTGAGTGTCCAAGGCAAGATTTGAGCTCGCGTTACCCTAACTCTAGCTGCTGCCCAGCTGCCAAAGGGCCACTGAGCTGGCCTCCGAAGGGTGGCAATCACCAAGGGTTTGGGAGTCCAGACCGGTGGGCTCCTGGGGTATGTAGGGGCCAGACAGAGAAGGAGGGGAGGGATCCTAAATGGAGATACCCAGGTCCAGAGAAGGGGGGAAATTTGTCAGCGTCACACCACTAGTGTGCCAAGATTTGGGTCGGGGCCTCAGATTCCGATTCCATTACCCGTCCCACTGTCTGTCTACCAGCCGAAGGATTTAGTCTAGGAGAGGCGAGGGGAGACCCCAGAAAGAAGGGCAGCCTGGTGGGAGCCGTGTTGTAGCAGTCGTGGCTTGTGTCCCTAGGTGGGAGACCTGCCACCAGCCATCATCGCAGTCCACATGGGCGTGGTGGGCTGCCCCATCACGCTGTTCAGGACCAGCCACCTGGCCGACGAGCCTTCCCAGGACCGAGTCGTCAGGTACGGTCTGGGGGCCCCCTTCCTGTGGGGGCCACGCTAGACCAGGCAGCTGCGTCCCCACAGGCCAGGCACACCTGTCCCTGCTGAGATTCTCCTCGCCTTCCTGCTGACCGTTGGCAGGATCCCGGCCAGCCCTCGACCGTGCTGGCTCTGCCCTGGTCCTGCCCTGCCTTCCTCCCCCCTCCCCCGGGGGTTTTCAGCTATGCCTTTTCTTCTTCCTTCTAAGGGGGTGCTTCAGTTTCTAGTTGTTTTTTTTCCCTTTGGGGTTAAGAGATCAGTGCTGGAGGATACAGCAGTACTTCTCCATCCAGAGCCCAGACTTGGTGCTCATGGGACCCGCGGCCTGAGCACCTGCTGGGCCCGGCCCCTTCTCCCTGGGCAGCTGCTGAGCCAGGGGCCATCTCCTCCCTTCCCAGGTTTGGCACTCAGATCTCTGGTGGAGACACCGTCTCCCGCACTCTCCGCCTGAATAACTCCAGTCCTTATGGTAAGACTTTCAGTCAGTCAATCAACAAACATGTACTGAGAATCTCCTGGATGTGCGGGGCACTGAGCTAGCCACCATGGGGGAGACCAAGATGTCTAAGACATGGTCTCTGCTCTGAAGGGGCTTGTAGACCAGTTGTAGAGAAAAGACATAGACGGTGATCAGGTAAAGCAAGGTGTTGGGCTGGGAGTGGAGGGGCACGCAGGTGGAGGGGGTGGGTCAGGGCACAGCCAGCCCGCACGGTTTTGGGTGCATGTACACGGGCACATGTAAGCACGTGTGTGCAGGCATGCCTGGTGGTTGCCAAAGAGAGCCTGCTTCACTGGTGGGCAGGGTCCCCCAGCCTGGGAAGGAGGAGTGACCCTCAGACCCTTTAGAGTTGGAGGGCCCAGATCACCTTGTCTAGCCCCCCTTCATTGTACATTCAGGGAGGAGAAGCTTGAATGGCCTGTCCAGGACCTGTCCCACTCACAGGTTCCCGGAGACCCCCATGGTCTGCTTTCTCAGCATATGCCTTCACTGGTGTTTAGGATGCTAAGGCCAGAAGTGCCAAATGCCCCTTTAGAGACTTTTTCTGCAGGGTCCTCCATACAAGGGTTTTTCCTTCCCCTGTGGCTGTCCCTGCCTGTCTTTGGCAGACATCCCTCTGTGTCTGTCTCCTTTGGACCCACTTTTCTGGCGAAGGAATCATCAGCCTGTATGGTGCCTGGGAGGCCTTTACTTTGGCTCTTTGCTGTGTAGATGCTGGCCCAGGGATGCTAACCACATTGCATCTCTCCAGGTCTCTACCTGCAATCAGAGTCCTTCTTGGCCAATGTTAAGAGCCCTGGGCCAGGAGGCAGCAGGCTGATGTCCTAGGAACCACCAGGAGACTGGGACGTGGGAGGGATCTGGAACCCAGAAGACAGGGGGCCTCCTTTTTCGGGACCAGCCCTGTTGGCCTTGTCACTCCTAGGAGCACAGGGTGGGGCGAGCCTGAAGGAATAAACTTGGCTTAGGGCGAGTCGCTGCTCCCGTGAGGCTTCAATTTCTCCCTCCCCACCATCTCCCCGGGGAGTCTGGGGACAAGATTGGTCCTGGGCAAAGCCCCAGATGTTGCCTCGGTTGATAGTGGCTCCCACACATCTACCCTGGGCTCTGCTAAAGAGGCCGGGATCCAGGCAGCTCCCCCACGCTAGTCCCCAGTGCCAGAAGGCCTGCCCGGTTCATTACCCAGCATCCATCAGTCCCTGCTTGAGCCTCCTGGTGTTCTCTTGGGCCCCTTCCCACCCTGTGGTCCTCCTCCCTTCCTCTCACCGTTCTGCCCTCTGCCTACCTCACCCTCCTCCAAACTGTTTGACAATGCAGACATCAGGATAGACTGGGAGACCTATAGCCCAGAAGAGAATGAGGACAAACTCCTGGACTTCTTGGTGGTGTATGGGACGCCTTTCCCCCTGAGGGATGCTGCTGGGGTAGAGATGGATTCCAAGGAAGAGCCCACGAGTGACTCCTCCTTTGTGGCCAGCTCCAGCCAGTCCCCTGCCTCCCCGGACAGCACGAATCCACTGGAAACTGTGAGTGTCTTTGCCCCCGGTGGGGGGTACACTCGGCAGGATCAGGGGCACGCCTGGTTGGCAAGCCAAAAGCTCTGGCTGTGTGCCAAGCCACCGGGGACAAAGTAGAAGCAAAACCTGTCTCCCTGCACCCCAAAGTGAGGATGAAGGAATGCCCGGGTTGTCAGGAGGGGGCACTTGGGCCGAGCCAGCGAGGGGTCGGAGGTGAGACCGGCCAGGAAGCAGAGGCCAGAGATGGAATGGCCCGTGGACTCGCTAGGCTCAGAAAGCTGCTCTGGAGCCGGACTGTCCCGCAGAGCATCCTTGAGGCAGCGGGGCCCATGGGCGCTTCTGGAACAGAGAGCTAGGATGGAGCTGGGGGAGGAGGGGAAGGCTGAGTCAGGAAGGCCAGGAAGGAGGCAAGGAGTGAGGCGGGTCTGAACTAGGGGGAGGCCACAGTGTGAGGAATGGAGAGGAGAGGTTATCAGGGGCATCAAGAGGGACCCCTGAGCTGGGATTGAGGAGAGGGAGGGATTGGCAGAGGTGGAGAAGAGAAGGGAGAGGCTTCCAAGCCCAGGCCAAGGAGGAGAAGGGAGTAGCGAGGTAGCCAGTTTGGCTGAAATGGCTCTTTTTGTGAGGGGTATTCTGGTGTGGATCATCCTGGAAAGACAGGTGGGAGCCAGATGACGGATGGCCTTTCAAAAGCCAAACCCAGGGGCAGCGAGGTGGCGCAGAGGATGGAGCACTGGCCCTGGATTCAGGAGGACCTGAGTTCAAATCCGGCCTCAGACCAAACACTTGACACTTACTAGCTGTGTGACCCTGGGAAAGTCACTTAACCCCAATTGCCTAAAAAAAAAAAAGAAAAGAAAAGAAAAGAAAAAAGAAGAAAAAGAAAAGTCAAACCCTAGAGGCAATGGGGAGCCACGGAGGAGAGCCGTGGTCAGCCCTGTGCTTTTGGAACATGAGTTTGGGACCTGTGTGGAGGCTGATGGGGGGCCAGTGTAGAAGCTCTGGCAGTGCTCCAGGCTAGTGGGGGTGAGGGTTGGAAGTCCGCTACAGGCTCTGGGAATGTGTGAGTGGGGACAGCTGTAAGGAATGGGGAGGACTTGAATGTGGGGGCTTGGGAGGGAGCAGGGAGAAGCAGGAGAGAGGACTGCGTTGATGCGGGAGTGGGTCAGGAGCAATAGCCTTAGGGCCAAAGCCCTGCCTGGGGCACGTGGAGATCCCTGCAGGACATTTCATCCCAGATGTCCAGTCATCAGGGAGGGGAGGTGATGCGCATCTGAGGCCAGGCTGGGGGTCACTGAGCCCTGCCGGAGAGGGGGACGGCATAGAGCCTTGACCACGACCGGCCCTGACTTGTTCCGAGGCCCAGAGATTGGCTGGCCCAGCAGGGCATGCCTGGTCTCTGGCCAGGGCAGGAAGGAGTGGAGAACTGTGGTCCCGGGTCTTTCCTCCTCGCTCCTGCCCGCCCCACCAGCTGCCCGGAAGTGGTCAGTGTCACTACTGCTCCAGCGTGGGAGGGCCGCCCCCTATTCTGCTGCTTGGCTTGGCCCCCAGCCTCACAGTTGGTGGGTCGGTTTGTTTTGTAAGCAGTGCGGGAATAGAATGGGGAGTGGAGAAGATTCTTTCTCGCCCATGGCTGAGGGGAGCCCCAACATCATCTCAGTGATCCTGCAGCCCCACGAGGGCGTGCGCTCTGACCACCCCTACACCATCACTCCCAGACAGCTGGTGAGTGCGCTCCCCACAGCTCTTGGCAGCCAGTCTCCCCGCCTTCTGCTGTGGGGCCCCTGCCCTGCTTCCGTGTGCCTACCCCGCCTTCTGAAGGGCCCCTGCCCCAAACCCCACCTTGTCCTCCCTCCCTCCAAGGGCTGCCGGCTCATCCCAGTGATGTCTGGGGGGACTCATCCCAATGATGTCTGCGGGGACTCATCCCAGTGATGTCTGTGGGGACGTGACATCAGTGGGGAGGCTTCCTTCACAGACTCCTCAGAAGAGGACGCAGGGTGGGAAGGCTCCAGGCCAGGGCTCGCCCCTTTGCTGGCTTGGGTCCTATATGACCATGCCCTTTCTGACAGCCACGAAGCCATCCTGGGCACCCGCTACTTTCTTGGCCCATGTCTGGGGTTTCCTTTTTTTGCCCCATTCAGTGACTTTGCACCACCTTACCAAGCAGCTGTCTTAAGCTTCATCCGTCTGTGGCAGGTAATTCCAGCTGCTGGGAGCAGCTCTGTCCATGTCTCCTTCACGCCCATGCTCCTGCCAGGGTCCGTCAGCAAGATGGTGTGTAAAAGCTACGCCTTGGGCTTCATGAGCCTGGACAACAAGGTGAGTCTCAGGTCCGAGTGGGCCACAAGGCCAACCTGTAGGGCCCTGCAACAGGTTGGGCAGGCGAGGGCAGGGACGCTGAGGGGAGGCCTGCCTTGAGCACACCAGTAGGGAAAGGCTTCTCCTCCCTGGCCACAGCAAGCAGTGTGGCCTGAGGTGGCTTGGCTTCTCTGGGCTGGGGCAGATTGCTCGAGAGATTCCAGGGAAGGTGAAACGGCCCCAGAACTTTGATGCCGAGCTCTTCCGACTGGACCTTCAGGGCCTTGTGCGGCCAGCTCGGTGAGTGGGGGGGAGGGGGGTCCTCCTCTACCCTCCCTGCCGTCCCCATCCCTCCTGTCAACTGACCTGCCAAGCTTCATCTGGCCTGGTGAGGATGCTACCTCTTTGCTACCCCCGGACCCCCAGACTGTCCCAGCCAGGGCTGCCAGAGGGTCTCCTGACCATGCTCTGCTTTGGCTTTGGGGCAGGTTGAGCATTGAGCATGACTATGATGGTGGAATGGTGTTCTACCTGCAGGCCAGTGACCTCATCCCGGCCAATCCACTCACAGGGGTGAGTGTGGGCAGGAGTCCAGACACTCCTCCGAGCTCTGTGGGGACCCCTCCCCCAGGAGAAGGCCAGCCCTGAGGCTGAATGCCACAGCCCCCTCAGCAGAAGAGGAGACTTCTGGGGCCCAGACCTTTCCTGAACACAGCGGGAGGACGCCTCTGGTCTGGGTCCTATTTCCAGGGTGTGCCTGGCTCCCAACCCATCCCTGTCTTTTCCACAGCTCCAAAACCTCCACACACACCCCCTCCAATGTCTACCAGGCTGCCCATAAAGTGGTGGCAAGGGTCAGGGCTGGAGGCCTGGGGAGGGATCAACCCTGCCCGCTCTGGCCTGACTTCCAGGTGCTCCCTGAGAGGGTGATCACTCACCGTCTGAAGGTCAACAACTTCACGGACTTGGCCCATTGCTTCGGGCTCCTGGTGGCACCCCCGTTCTCTGTGACGGGGATCAATCCTGAATACAACCGGAGAATCTTGGACAGGGAGGTGGAAGATGAAGAGGAGGAGCCGGCCAGAGATCAGTTTGTACTCAACCCTCAGCAGAACATGCTGGTAGGCCAAGCTAGGAGGGCTCCCCAGGGGGCATGGCCGGGGGCGGGGGGCTCAGCCAGCCTTAGCACAGGGTTATTGACTGACAGCTTGATGCGGTGGTGTTGCGGTCTGAGAGGTTTAGACCCCTCAAGGACTGGAGTATAGGATGGGTCGTCTGGAGTGAATTCACAGACTCAAGCATTCTTTAAGTCAAGGTGGCAAAGATTTACTGTTACGCTATACAAGGGGCAAGGATTCTCAAGGAACCTACCGTGGTGGGCAGAGCTCCTTAGGGAACTTGCAACCTGAAAGGAATGATGCTGAAGCTTACACAGGAAAAGCGGTGGATCATGTGCCAAGTCTACTAATTAGGTGGTAACACACAGCTCCGTCATTCAGCACTGGAAACGGGGGGTGCAGGGAGAGGGTTCCTAAAGGGCGTGTTTGTGATCTGTTACGTCTGTGACAAGATAGCTTCGGGAGTTGACGCCTGTAGCTTGACCTCTGGATTGTATACATGACTGTGGGCATCAGTGCATGACAGTTCTGCTGGTACGAGATGGTCCTAGTCACACAAGGGAAATTCTACAGAGGTCAGCTTGTTCTTGTAACAGGCAGACATGGTTTGCCTCACTGGGCCCACTCATGAGTCCCTGCCAGAGACAGGGTCTTTGGGCTGGAGGCACACTGTCAGGGACAGTGCCTTGAGGCCAGGTCCGAGTATAAGCCCCCCAGCACCCCACCAGTGGTGTGGGTGTGGCCCCAACGATGGCCCCATCAGCCCATCACCGTGGCAGGCAGCAGCCCCAGAAGGCTTGGGCGGCGTCTTCCACAGGACGTCCCCCTGTCAGTGTGGCCTCAGGTCACGATAGAGGTCCCCGCCCCCGCGGCTACAGCCCCTGCCACGGGAAGCAAGGATGTGGAGGGCAGAGAGGGTGCTTGCTCCCACGGCGATGAGGTGGGGCCCATGTCCCTCCAGATCGAGGTGTCCTTCACCCTGTCTCTGGAGTTACTGACGTACCAGAAGCTGCCATCGGACCAGATGCTGCCAGGAGTGACGATCCTTCAAGATGAGGATGGGGCCAGGAAAATGGAATTCAGCCAAGAGCTGGTGTTGGAGTATGCCAACAAGACCACCCAGGCAAGTAGAGGCAGGAGCCGGGAAGCCGGCTGGGCAGTGTGTCGTCCACCCACAGTCCATATTCTCTAGGTGGGAAGACGCAGCCCACGAGACCTTGGAGGCCAGGGACGCTTTCCACGTAATTCGTCCCCAAAGCATTTAGTAAGCACCTACCTGGGCCAGGCCTTGGGTTGGGTGCTGGGGTTACAGTCAAACAACTGAGCTCCCATTTCACAGAGGGGGCTGGGGCTGGGGCTGGGGTTACCAGTCTGATGGGAAGGACAGTGTGTCAGCACTACCATCGGGATCCCAGAAGCCCCATCGGGATGAAGCTGGGGTGGAGGGGGGGTGGGAGGTGAGGCAGGGAGGGGGCCAGGGTGGCCCAGGAGGAGCCATGGTCATGTGGATTAGAGGATGAATCCCTGAGAAAGGTGGAAAGATAGACCTAAAGACCCCAGGCATTGGGGTAAGAACTCACTATTTGACAAAAACTGTTGGGAAAACTGGAAAGCAGTCTAAAAGGCTTGGGGCAGGTCTCCAGCACTAGCACAGAGGAAGGATGGGTCCTGGCCCTGCCGGATGGATGAGGCAAGCCCAGGGAGCTGTGAAGCCTGCCCACTCTAGCAGTGTGGGTGGGAGCCTCAGCACCATTCCCCTCCCTGAGGCACTCAGCTGTGGCTCCTTGCAGCCCTGTTCAGGGAGGGTTCAGGAGGATGCTCGAGCCTGGCTGGTGTCCCCTGTGCAGGAGGAAAGACAGCAGGCAAATGATCGTTTCTTTTTTTTTCTTAATTTTATTTTCAGATTGTATTCTGTCCCTCCCAACTCTTCATCTCCCCTCCCCCCAAACCCTAAGAAGGCGAGAAAAACCTGTTATGACCACCCTGTGTAGTCCAGCATATTCCCAACCCGTCATGTCCAGTATGCATCTATGTGTATGTATGTATACATAAAGTGTGTGTGTGTATGCACGCGCATGCCAAAACCATCAGTGCTCTCCCCGCAGGTGAGCAGCTTCATTCATCACGAGTCCTCTGAACAGTGGCTGCTCTTTGGGCAAAGGCAGCTGGTGGTGCCATGGTGAAGAGAGCACTGACCCTGGAGTCAGGAAGACTTGAATTCAAATCTGCCTCAGATTTACTTTCTAGCTGTGGGACCCTGGACAAGTCACTTAACTTTCAACCCCTATTTCAATCTCCTCCTCTCCTCATCTGACACCAGCCTCTTAGGGCTGTCCTGAAGATCAGCTGAGATATTCATGAAGTGCTTAGCCCAGTGCCTGCCAGTCATTCGAGAAGCAAGAATAGCGCTTACTAAATGCGTACTCCCTCCCCTCCCCTATTCATTACGCTGGCCAGACTTCCTAAGTCTTTCCAGTTTGTCCTCATTATATTGCGGTCATTACATAAATCTTTGTCTGGTTCTGCTTGCTTCACTTTGCATCCGTCCATCCAAATCTTCCCAGACCTTCCTGAAACCATCCTGTCCTTTTTCCAACACATCAGAGTTGTGTGCACTAACTTGTTCAGCCACTCCCCACTGCATGGGTGCCCCGTCAGTCTGCAATTCGTTGTCACCACAAAGAGCTGCTCTAAATACTTTTGTACATATGGGTCCTCTTCATTTTTCTTTGATCTCTTTGGGATACAGACCTATCTCAGTGGCATTGCTGGGTCAAAGAGCATATACGGTTTTCTAGCCCTTTGGGCATAATTCCAAACTGCTCTCCAGAATGGTGGGATCAATTCACAACTCTGCCAACGGTGCATTAGTGTCCCAATTTTTCCACATCCCCTCTAGAATATGTCCTTTTTCTTTTCTGTCATATTAGCCAATCTGATGAGTCTCTAAGTATTAGTGATTTAGAGCAATTTTTCATATGGCTATGGACGGCTTAGATTCTTTCTTGAAAACTGTCTATTCATATCTTTCACCATATGTCAATTGGGGAATGGCTCTTGTTCTTATAAATTTGGTTCAGTTCCCTATGTATTTTAGAAAAGAGACATTTATTAGAGAAATTTGCTGCAAAGATTTTTTTCCCCATTTCCTGCTACTCTTCTAATTTTAGTTGAATTGATTCTGTTTATGTGGAAACTTTTTAATTTTATGTAATTAAAATTGTCTATTTTGTCTCCCGTGATCCCCTCTATGTCTTGTCTGGTCATGAACTGTTCCCCTCTCTGTAAATTTGGCAGGTGATTTCTTTCTCACTCGTCTAATTAGTTTAAAATGTCACCCTTTATGCCTAAGCCATGCACCCGTTTGGAGTCTGTCTTGGTGTGGGGTACGAGATGCTGGTCTCCGCTTAGTTTCTTTTAGACTGCTTTCCTGTTTTCCCAACAGTTTTTGTCAAATAGTGAGTTCTTACCCCAATGCCTGGGGTCTTTAGGTCTATCAAACCACTCAATTACTATGCCTGTTTGCTTCTGTGTGTTGTATGTTTAATCCGTCCCACTGATCAACCTTTCTATTTCTTACCCAGTACCAAATTGGTTTGATGATTAGAGCTTTGTAGTATAGTTTGAGATCTGGCACTGCTAGGTCCCCTTCCTTTCCCCCTTTTTTTTCATCAGTTCTCTCCATATTCTTGACTCTTTGTTCCTCCAAGTGAATTTTTTAAAATAATTTTTCCAACCATATAAAGTAATCCTTGAATTGTTTGGTTGGTATGGTACTGAATAAATAAATTACTTTAGGTAGTATGGTCATTTTTATTATATTAGCTCAGCCTACCCCTAAGCAACTAATATTTCTCCAATTATTTTGAGTCTTATTTGTCTAAAGAGAGTTTTATAATTGTGTTCATATAGTTCCTCTGTGTGTCTTGGCAGGTAGCCTCTCAAATATTTTATACTATCTGCAGTTATTTTAAATAGAATTTCTCTATTTCTTCCTCCTAGATTTTGTTAGTATTATACATAAATACTGGTGATTTGTGTGGGTTTATTTTATATCCTGCAACTTTGCTGAAGTTGTTGTTTCATTTAGTTTTTGATTTGACTCTGGGGTTTTCTAAGTAAACCATCATATCATCTTTAAAAAGTATAATTTTGTTTCCTCTTTGCTTATTCTCTCAATTTATTTTTTTCTTATTGACATAGCTATCATTTCTAGCACTATGTTGAATACTAATGGTGACAATGGGCATCCTTGCTTTCCCCTCATCTTAATGGAAAGGTCTCTTATCCACATTATCCATGGTACATATGACACTGGACCTTGGTTTCAAATAGTTACTAATTACCATATTGAAGAAAGCTCCATTTCCCCCCCTTAGTCCTTCTAGTGGATTTTTTTTTTCTAAACAGGAATGGCTGTTTATCTTGTCAAAAGTTTTTTCTACATCTTTTTATTTAATTCTATGATCTGTGTTTTGTATGTTATTAATATAGTCAATTCTATCTATACTTTTCCTAAAGGTGAATAAGATCTGCATTCCTGGTATGATATAGCCTGGTCAGAGTGTATAATCTTTATGATATGTCACTGTAGCCTTTATAGTAGTATTTTTATTTAAAAAGTTAGCATCAATAATAAATAGGGATATTGGTCCATACTTTTCTTTGATTTGATTCTCCCTGGTTTAGTTATTAAGAATATATTTGTGTCCAAGAAGGAATTTGGTAAGACTCCTCCTTTTCCTATTTTTCCAAACAGCGTATGTAGTCTTTGAATTCTTCTTTAAATGTTTGATTCATTCGCTTACAAATCCATCTGGTCCTGGCATTTTTTCTTTAGGAATTCATTTATTGCTTGTTCCGTTCCTTTTCTAATATAGGGTTGTTTAAATATTCTAATTACTGTTCTCTTAATCTGGACAATTAATTTCTGTAAATATTCATCCATTTCGTTTAGATTGCAAGTTTGATCGGCATACATATGAATGTAAATAGATGAAATAGCTCAGTGATTTTTTATATTTCTCCTTCCTTGGCTGTGAATTCACCTTTTTAATTTTTGATACTGTTAATTTGGTTTTCTTCTTTTTTTAATCAAGTTAGCTAATAGCTTATCTGGTTTGTTGGGCTTTTTTCTTCTTTCTAAAAAAACAGATACTAGTTTCATTTATTAATTCAAATTTTTTGTTTGTTTTTGCTTTCAGTCTTGTTAATCTTTTCTTTGATTTTCAGGGTTTCTATTTTGATATTTAATTGAGGGGATTAATTTGTTGATTTTCTAGGTTTTTTTAGTTGCATGCCTAGTTTGTTGGTCTGTTCTTTCCTCTTTTTATCTTTTTTTTTTTTTTTTTTTGCTTTTTGGTGAGGCAACCAGGGTTAAGTGACTTGCCCAGTGTCACACAACTAGTAAGTGTCAAGTGTCTGAGGCTGGATTTGAACTCGGGTCCTCCTGACTCCAAGGCCAGAGCTCTATCCACTGCGCCACCTAGCTGCCCCCCTTTCCCTCTTTTTACAGATAAAAATGTTTAGAGATGTAACTCTTCCTCTAAGTACTGCTTTGTCAGCATCCCCCAAATTTTGGTATGTTTTCTTGTTGTCATCGTCATCTTTAATGAAATTATTGTTTTTATGATTTGTTCTTTGATCCACCCGTTCTTTAGGATTAGTTTCCAATTACTTTTAATCTTTGATTCAAAAACCCCTTATAGAATATAATTTTTATTGCATTATGGTTGGTAAACTATGTACTTAGTATTTCTGCTTTTATGCATTTGTTTGTGAGGTTTATGCCCTCAGACATAGTCAGTTTTTTTGAAGGTGCCATGAACAACTTAGAAATAGATATGCTCCTTTATATTCCCATTCAGTATTCCTCAGAGATCTGTCATCTCTAAATTTTCTAAAAACTTTTATTCAGGCCTTTTTGTTGTTGTTGTTAGGTTTATCTAGATCTGAGTAAGCTGAGGTCCTTTCATTATAGTCTTACTCTGTATTTCTCCTTGTAACACCTTTAACTTTTCTTTTAAGAATTTAGATGCTATGCCGTTTGGTGAATATATGTTTGGTATTGATATCATTGTCTCATGGTACCTTTCAGCAAAACGTAGTCTTTTAATTAGGTCTGTTCCTGCCGTTGCTTTGTTTGACATCATCCTTGCCGTTCCGGGCTTTTTTAATTTCAGTTAAAGCTTAACAGACTCTACTCGAGTCCCTTGTTTTCATTCTGTATTTATCTGTCTGTTTCAAGTGCATTCCTTCTAAACCACATGTTGCTGGATTCTGGCTTCTAATCCACTCTGCTGCCCTCCTCTGTTTTATGGGTGAGCTCATCCCATTCATGTTCACCGTTGCTAATTATATACTTGCTTCTTGTAGTTTTTTTTTTTCTTGCTCTCCTCTTTTAAGAGTTTGTTTTGCTTCCAAAAAATCTTTCCCTTAATCAGCCCTCCCTCTTATTGCCTACCCCCCTTTTCCTAGACCTCTTTCCCTACTGTTTCCTCTGCTGACAGCGTAGGGAAAGAGGAAGGTTTCTAAGTTGGAATAGCTGCTGTGATGAATGGGATAGTGAGTTAATTAGGGGAGGTATAGAAGAATTGACTTGCAATGTTGAGGGCCTAGTGGAGAATATGTAAGATAAACTTGTAGTATCCCAAGTCAGCATAGTTTTATGATTTCCTCAAGCTTCATTTAGCAGCATATATGCAGGTGTGAAAGCAGTGGAGGGTGGGAGCAATTTTTAATACTATTATATTTTTTCCAATTATATGTAAAGACAACTTTTGACATTGTTTTAAATAAAATTTTGAGTTCCAAATTTTCTCCCTCCCTTCCTTCCCCGCTCCATCCCTAAGATGGTAAGCAGTTTGAGATAGGTTATATATACACAATCATATAAAACATATGTCCATATTAGTCATGTTGTGAAAGATGAAACAGATCAAAAGGGGAAAAAAAAACCACAAAAAATAAAGATGAACATAGTATGCTTTCATCCACATTCAGACCATCAGTTCTTTCTCTGGAGAGGGATAGCATTTTCCATCATGAGTCCTTTGGAATTGTCTTGGATCACTGTATTGCTGAGAAGAGCTAAGTCAGCCATAGCTGATCATGGCAAAAGGTTGTGGTTACTGTGTATGACGTTCTCCTGGTTCTGCACACCTCACTCAGCATCAGTCCATACAAGTCTTTCCAGGTTGTTCTGAGAGCATCCTGCTCGTCATTTCTTATAGCACAATAGTACTCCATCACATTTCTCTACCACAGCTTGTTCATTCATTCCTCAATGGATGGGCATCCCCTCAATTTCTATTTCATTGATACCAAAGAGCTGCTATAAATATTTTTTGTCCATGTGGGTCTTTTCCCCATTTTTATGATCTCTTTGGGATATAGACCTAGCAGTAGTATTGCTGGATCAAAGAGTATACAGTTTTCTAGCCCTTTGGGCATAGTTCCAAACTGCTCTCCAGAATGGTTGGATCAGTTCACAACTCTGCCAACAGTGCTGTCCCAGTTTTTGGTGGGAGTAATCTAAGGCTAGAGTTTGGCACAGCGGGATCAGGGAGTGGGTGAGTGGGCAAGGGACTTGAGAGAAGACAGTGTGAGCTGAGCTGGTTTCCCCAGGAAGGGAGAAGGGCAGAACAGGGTCTGGGCTTGCAAGGCAGAGGCAGAGGTGGACCGACAACGTAGTGTTGTTATCAGATGAAGTCACTGCAGAGCTCCTGAGCATGGACCATGCATGCTGAAGTCCCCTAATGTGAGGAGGGAAAGCCCTGGGGAGCAGCCACGGAGGAAGGAAAGGCTGGACGGGGGCTGCTGGAATCCTGACGGGGGGAGAGGTGACCAAGTGATGGGGTTGGAGGGAGAGCCTGGAAGTGCTGACGGGCAGCAAGGAGCAGGAAGATGCCCCACTGCTGCCCACTGAGTTCAGGGGACGTGAGTGAAAGGGCAGCGCCCCACTGAAGAGTCTGATTCTGTCCTCGAGGACTGATGTGGTCATATGACTGGAGAGGGGAGCGGCGGGGAGGTGAGGGGAGCAGCAGGGAGGTGAGGAGACCCTGGGTCACAAGGCGGCTATCGGCATCATCCCAGCAGGGGGGATGGAGGCCCCGGGAGTGCTAGTCGTGCAGAGCAAAGAGCAGGGCCTGAGACGCAGCAGTTGATTCGGACACGCGACACGATGGGGCGCCAGAGGGCTTCCGCCAAGGGTCCCACCCTTCCCCAGCTGACGTGCCCACTTGCCCACAGGTGGTGCCCCTCTTGGCCATTGTGAGCATTCCGTCCCTGCAGCTCTCCACCAGCTGGGTGGACTTTGGCACCTGCTTTGTGAATGAGACGTACACTCGAGAGGTCACCCTGCTGAACCTGAGTTCGTGCAGGAGCCACTGGATAACTCTGACGGGTAAGACCCCAAGCCCCAGCCCAGAACTGACCTCAAGAGGGAGACCCAGGCGGGCACTCTCCGTGGGGGGTGAAGGCGGACGGGACGTGGCTGCCCTGTGCGGAGGCCGCTGCCTTCCTCCTGCCCCTCCCTCAGGCCTCTCCTTGGTTTCTCTGAACCACAGACAAGCAGGAGCGGCACAAGGCCATCTTCCAAGTCTACCCAACCAGTGGTGTACTGGAGGCTCGGAAAGTCAACTCCCCCCCAACTTCCACGAGCTTGTATATCCATTTTACTGCCAGGTAGGCTGCAGGCCCAGCCCTCCTGGTGGGCGGCCCCCGGCTTCTCTCCAGGCCTCGCTCACTCAGCATGACTAGAGCCCCACTCCCCGCTCTGGGTCACGCTTCTGACACTGAGGGCACAGGCCTGAGGCGGCCCAGGCTCTCATCCGCTATCCCCTGCCGCCTGGTGATGGGCCGTCCCCTTTCCTGGCAGTGACAGCTGTGAGTATGAAGCAGTCGTGACGGTGGACGGCATCCTGGGAGAGGCATGCATCTTGCACATGCGTGGGCAGGGCTCCTACGATGAGAAGTACTAGATGCTGGTGGCCTGGCGTGGCCGTGGTCCTGTGAGCAGGAGCAGGGGTGGCAATGAGCACCACCCTTAATAAATGCAGAGGTTGCCTGGCCTGCCCTTCTCTTCCTCTGTGGGGGCAGGGGTGGGGGTGTGGACGGGTGGGGGAGGGCAATGCCAAGGAAGGCTGGGCGCCAGCTCAAGGACACGGTGCTAGGGAGGTGCCTTTTTACAAAGATAATCTCATGGGATTCTCACAACCCATAAGGTCAGTGTTACAATGGCCCCCATTCTACAGATGAGGAAACTGAGGCAATCAGGTGCAGCGACTTGCCCAGGTCACAGGCCAGATTTGCACTCAGGGCTTCCACCTAGCTGCCTTGAAAGGAGAGGGAAGAGCTCACTCTTTCCCCTGGCCTAGCGGCCATCCTCGGGCCCTACCCCTAGAGAAGAGTCCTGGAGATCAGTCATGAGCGTTTATTGTTCTGATTAAAGAGATTTCACAGATGGCATGACCCCAACCCCTGGATGCCCCCTTCCCTGCCCGCCCTTGCCCAGTCTAGAACATGAAGAAGACGGCCTCAGCTGGCTGGTGGGGACAGAGGTGGAAGCCTAGACCAAGCCACGGGCCAGTGAACAGGCCGTGGTGCCAGCCATCATTTTAGTTATTTATGCAAGAGAACATTTCTTTTAAAAAGGCACAAGAACCAGGGGGCCGCTGGTGCACCCCCGAGGAAACGACAGCTGCTCCCAGCAAGGAAGGAAGGGAGGGAAGAGAGGAGATGGGAGGGTGGCCTGAGCCCCCCTCCCCACAGGGCCCGTGGCTCCGCAGGGCTCCGAGTGTGCCCCCAAGGCCTCCTCCCTCCCCCCCCAACCTGAGCTGAGGCCTCAGGGCCCCGGGTACTCAAAGACAGCAGCAGCTCCCATTCCAGTGCCAATGCACATGGACACCACGCCGTAAGCCCTGCAGGGGGGACAGGAAGAGGAGATTAGCGGTGGCCTAGCCAGGCCTGGGTAGTGGTGACAGCAAGGTCAGACCGTCCCTGCCTTGGGACTGGGCTGGGAAAGGCCCAGTGACTTCCTGGCCCAGACAGCGGCCCCTCCCTCCAGGATGCCCTGGAACCCCCACACAAGCCCAGCCCAGGGGAGGTCCAAACGCAGGCGAGGTGTCTCACCTCTTCCCTCGGCGCTTCAGCTCATTGAGGAGAGTGATGACCTGGCGGGCCCCTGTGCATCCTAGCGGGTGCCCCAAGGCGATGGCTCCCCCGAGGGGATTCACTTTCTCCAGGGGAATCCCCAGCTTCTCCACACAATAAGTAGCCTAGAGGAGAAGGAGGGCAGGCCTGAGGCCCCCACATCCTTCCCCCGGCATGGAGGGCAGCCTCCTTACCCCCCCAGGATGGGAGGGCCTTCCTGCTGGTGCCCAGGGCGGTTGTCTGGGTCGTGGGGCTGCCCGGTGATGGACACGTCTCCTTGGAAGGCAATGGTCCAGGCTGGGGTTGGGGGGGTCATCAATAAATAGTAGAAATGTTTTTCCCCAAAACCAGTGTAAGCTCTCCGAGCCCAGGGACAGTTTCGTTCAGTCTGTGTCCTCTGCAGTGAGCCCAGCACACAGCTAGTGCTTCATAAATGCTTACTGACTGATGTACTGATTCCACACTTCCTGGCCAAACCAGCAGGCAGAGGCCCCATCATTCTTTTTCCCTGAACCTGTGATTTCATGGGTGAGGGAACTCCCAGGTGAGGACTAGCCCTCTACTGATGCAGGTTGGCACCAACTCTGTCCCTCCCCAAGGCCCACAGCCGCTAGGTGTCAGAGGAGGACTGGAACCCAGGTCTTGATTTCTAGCCAGCTCTCCATTCCCCGTGCCCAACATCATCTTAGAAACAGTGGAAATTCCCAACACGAGCTCTGGCCCCACGGACAGTGGAGAGAGGGTGTGGGAAGGCAGCAGAGTCGACGGGGCCGCTCACCTGACTGGCAAAGGCCTCATTGATCTCAAAAATGTCCACGTCCTTCACAGTTAGCCCTTCAGGAGGGGGGGCAGGCGATGCCAAGGAAACGAGCCATCAGCATCAGTAAGTCCACGGACAATGCCCAGCCCCTCCCCCAGCCAGCCCCGGGGGTGCTCGGGCTGGACCCCCCACCCCCAAATACTGGCTCCCTGTGAGAAACTTGCCAAGGACATCTGGGGGCTCCCCTGGCCCGGCTGATGCAGTCTCCAGCCCCCCACACACACCCTCCCCAGCTGACTGCTTGAACAGGGTGCCCACGGGCAACGCCCCCATCTCACCTGCCTTCTGCAATGCCGCGGGGATGGCATAGGCAGGGCCGATGCCCATGATGTTGGGGGGCACCCCCACCACGGCGTAGGCCCGCAGGATGCCGAGGATGGGGAGGCCCAGCTGCTCAGCTCTGGCCCTGCGCGCCAGCAGGATGGCAGCGGCTCCATCGCTCACTTGGCTGGAGTTACCTGGTGGAGACAGGGTTGGTGAGAGGCCAGAGTAACAGGTCACCTTGGCACTGCCCAGTGCCGCTTCGCCCTGCACCCTCACCGGCAGTGGTGGACCCATCTTTCTTGAAGGCTGGCTTCAGCTTGGCGAGCCCTTCCAGCGTGGTGCCGGCTCGGATGCCTTCATCCTGGGAAACGGTGACCGACTTTTCATTGCCCTTGTTGTCCTGGATGGTGGTGGTCACGGGCACGATCTCAGCCTGGAAACACCCCTGGCTCTGGGCCCTGGCCGCCCTGTTGGCACCGAGGGAACAAGTGCTTTGAGAGCCCGTCCCCAGCGTCCCTGGCATGAAAGCAGGAGCAGCCAGCTGGGGAGCCGGGGATCGTCCAAGGAAAGCTGCAGGGGCCCCTCGGGGCTCTCACTCCGGCCCCGAGAGCTACCAGGACCGGCTGAGCTGTCCCTGTCCTCAAGACCAAGTGCCAGCCGGCCAGGGCGTGGGGCCCAGGAGAGTCGCCGCGTGGGCAGAGAAAGGGCACGTACACAGGCCGCCTCCGTTGAGCTGGAACGGGAGGGGACAAGGGGCTTCCCCAGCACCGCCCTCCATCCCCCTCGGTTCTTAGGACTCCAGGCTGCAAAGTATGGACGGTTCCCACGAAGGCAACAGACAAACCCAGGGACAAAGACCCAGGAGGGATCTGAGGAAGCGCCACCATGGAGGAAAGCCAGACAGCTCGCCACGCGCTTGGAGGGGGCCACGGGAGCCGGCCCGTCAAGCGACTGTGGTGCGTCCTCCAGCTGCGTGTGAAGGGAGGTTGGAGACAAAGTGCAGAAGGAAGGTCCACCGCCCGTTAGAGTGTGAGGTGAGGGGAGACCGTGGCCACGACCCTGTCAACCAAGCAGCACATGGGCCCTGGTTGTGACTCAAGAATGGCAGGGGAAGGGATATCAACCAAGTCTCTATTTAGTGCCTACTATGTGCTGGGCCACATAGCAGGACCACAACCCCTCTGGACTCAGTGTGCTATTCTATCCCTCCCAACTCCGGGTCATGGCAAAGCTGAGAGATGCGCCTCCGGCGGAACACCACAGAGCCCTGGGGCAGCCATCTCACTGCGGATGGATGAGGCTCATGGGGAGAAGGCGGCTTCCGAGGAGAGCCAAGAGCAGATGAGGCCTCAGAGAGGCAGGAGAGAGGCCAGGCGCAGCCTGAGCCCATGAGCACTCAGGACAGTTTGTACACCCAAAGGGCCTTGTCCTCGATGTGCTTCCATTCTCCCGGGGCAGCCAACAAGTCAATGGAGAAGTCTGGGTGGATAATTAGCAGAGGAAGAGTGCGCTTACAACCAGGGGTATCAGAAAAGATTTTTCATAGGCAGTGGAAGCCAAATTCTGAAGAAAGCAAGGGACCCCAAGAGACTAAGAAGAGGAGAGGCAGCATTCTAGGCAGAGGCACAGCCAGGGCAAAGGTATGGAGGTGGTAGATGAAATGCTGAGTTCAATGATAAGTGTTGGAGAAGATGTGGGATAATTGGAACACTAATGCATTGTTGGTGGAGTTGTGAAATGATCCAACTATTTTGGAGAGCAATTTGGAACTATGCCCAAAGGGCTATAAAAATGTGCATACCCTTTGACCCAGCAATAGCACTTCTAAGGCTACATCCCAAAAAGATCATAAAAAAGGGAAAAGGACCCACATGTACAAAAATATTTATAGCAGCTCTTTTTGTGGTGGCAAAGAATTGGAAATTGAGAGGATGCCCATCAACTCGGGAATGGTTGAACAAGTTGTGGTATATGAATGTGATGGAATACTATTGTGCTATAAGAAATGATGAACAGGCTGACTTCAGAAAAACCTGGAAAGACTTGTATGGTCTGATGCTGAGTGAAGTGAGCAGAACCAGGAGAACATCGGATACAATAACAGCCATGTTGTTCGATGACTAACTTTGATAGACTTATCCCTTCTCAGCAATGCAAGGATCCAAGACATCTCCAAAGGCCTCGTGATGGAAAATGCTACCCACATCCAGAGAAAGAACTATGGAGTTTGAATGCAAATCAAAGCATACTATTTGCTCTTTTTTCCTTCCATTTTGTTTTGTTTCCTCTTTCTGGTGGTTCCTCCTATTGGTTCTAATTCTTTTTTACAACATGACTAATGTGAAAATAAGTTTAATAGGAATGTAAATGCATAGCCTATATCAGATTGTGGGAGGGTGGTGGGGAGGAAGGGGGAGAAAAATGTTAAACTCAAAAGCTTATGGAAGTGATTGTTGATAAATCAAAATAAATTCATTTTAAAAAATAAAATTAAAAAGAATCAAACGAGATAATTAAGTGTAAAGCACTCAAAAAAAATGCTGAGTTCAGAAAATTACGGTTGGGCAGAAATAGGAGGTGCCTGAAGGGAAGTAATATGAAAGAAGCCTAGAAAAGTCTGCTGGAGCCAGACTGCAAAAGGCTCACTTGGCATTTTGGATTTTGTTCCAGAGGCAAGGGGGAGCCATGGCATGTTCTTGAGCAAGAGGGTGATGTGGTTCAGAGCACGACTATCATTCCAAAAAATGTGGCTGGATCATGGAGGGGCTGGGAGGTCTGGGCTGGACTAAGGTGGCCTCTGAGGGCCTTCCCAGATCTGAGATCCTGTAAAATGCCCATCACTAACCTACCGGCTGCAAGACCTCAAGGATGCTGGGAAAACACTGGGTTAGGAGAGGCTGGGGGATCCCGGGCAGAGCCTGCCTCGGTGTGCTCATCTGTAAAGTGGGGATCAGAAGACGGCCGACGTCGCAGGATTGAGGCACCAGAGCTGATTATCCGTTGTGCAGCGGGCAGGACTGAGGGCCCTAACCCCCGAGGAGGCCACGCCCCACCTCTGCCCTGGCCCACAGCCCGGAGCCCAGCCTTGCCCAGGACAGATCCCTATCCCGAGGCGCCACACCCGGAGGTCACCAGGCGCACACTCACTTCTTCTGGGAAGCCAAAGCAAAGGCATCCTGCTTCTCCCGGGAGATGCCGAATCGCTCCGCCACGTTTTCCGACGTAATCCTGGGATGCCAAGAAGAGCAGAGGGTCGAGACAGAGAAGGAAGGGGGAGCTGGGCGCAGGGACTTACATATGAGGAAACTGAGGATCAGCGTGGCGCCTTATCATGGGCACCGAGCTCAGAATACTCAAACGAGCAGGAAGCAGCCCTCCAGCCCTCCCTGAAACCTGGCCAGCAGCAGCAAGTGGACAGAGAGTGTGCCCGGTGACCCTGGACGGCCTGCTGCCCTCCATGTGCTCGCTGGAAGGGCGCAGGCAGGGGCTCAGTGGGGTCCCCGTCCCCCACCCCTCCCCCACCCCCGACCCCCCAGGGCAGGCCGGGGCTGGAGCACTCACCCCATGGGGATCAGACAGTCTCTGGCTTGACTGTTCTCCACCAGGCGGGAGGTAATGTTGCCAGGGTTGCCCCGGTCGGCCAGGGACATAGACTCCACGCTGGGCAGGAGAGAAGCGCCTCAACGCCGGGCTCCCTTGGAGGGGGCTGCAGCGCCCCCTTCCCCCCGCCCCCAGCTGCTCCAGGGTGGGAGGATAGGGCCTGACCACACGAGCAAGGCATGGATTCTAATGAGGGGCCGGCCTGGGTGGGGAGGAGGGGAGGGGGAGGGGCAGGGGCAGGAGGGTGGAAAATGGGGAGGAGAGGAGGGGGAGGGGAAGAGGGGAGGGGGGAGGGGAGAAGGGCAGCCCCTACCGGAGCACATGCCTGGGCTGGAGTGGGAGCCAGTCCTGGTTCTCACTGACCCACTGACCACACACCCTGTGGCCTGGACCAGCAGCCTCATGGTGGTGGGTTCGAGATGACCCCAAATGAGGAGGGCATGGCTATCAGGCCATCAGAGAATGTTAGGTGTCACAGGATAGGAAGTGACCAGGCTAAGGTCAGAGGGCTCCCGAGTGGTCGCCTAGAACCCAGGCCCTCTGGCCAGAAATGAGGCAGCAGGAGGCGTCCTGGTTTCTACGCGTGCTCTCCCCCAGCCACTCTGGGAAGGAGGAGGGTGGCCACACTAAGGGCCGCAGTGACCGCTGCAGAGCAGGGAGTACACAGGATGTGGAAAAGCCTGCCTTAGGATGAGGTCAGAGAGCAGTTCTGCTCCAGCCCCTCCTAGCTCTGTGACGCTGGAAAAACCACTTCAGAGTTCCAAAGCCTCAGTCTGTTCACCTATAAAATGGGACTGCTGTGGCTGCGGAGAGGCCTCCGCTGGCTGGCTAACTGAACGACTTTTACAAGTACAGCCCTCCCAGGGATCGGTGGCCATGTCTGCCTCCACGCCCACCTCAGGCCTGGGCCAGGCCGGGAAGGCTAGTCCCAGCTCCTTCCCCAGGAGGAAGGGAAGCATCTTGGCTGTCCCCAACACGGGAGGGCAGGAAAGATGGGCCCTGGGACCTGAGGTGGGGAAGGGGCGACAGCCAGCCAGCTGCCCTCAGTCTTCCCACAGCACAGACAAGAGATGGGGAGAAATAGAACTGCCTCTGAGGGCCGACGTGGGAGCCAGAAACACAGTCGACAAGACGAGGAAAACCAGAGCAAAGACCGCCATCCCCGGAGACCCTCTGCTCTCTAGCGGCCCCAGAGGGGAGGTGGGGGGCCCTGGGCTGAGGCAAAGCAGGCTGGCGCCCTCCAACCAGCCTGTGGGAGCCACCCCCTGTCAATCAACCAGCGATCACTCAGTAAGCTCCTCCCCTCCCTCCAGTCCCAGGCCTGGGGGCAAAAGCAGGAGGCAGCGTGCCAAGAGGGGCCTGGGTGTGCCCTCGGAGGGGAACATTCTGGCAAGAACAAGTAGGGAGCTGCTCATCCCAGCAATAACACACCGCAGTGGCTTCCATGCAAGGGGACACTTCCTGGGTCCCCGGACTTGGGGGCCCTCGTCCCAAGAGACCCCACACTGGTCTGTTGGAAGGGGCTTGGCCTGGAGACGTGTGAAAACGTGCCCAGAAGCTCGGCAAAGAAAGATGCTTACCCACAGGCCATGCCAATGTCATAAGAGCCCTGGCTGATTCCACCTGCAATGAAAGCGGCTCATGAGCATTCGTCACGGAGGGGCCCCGCACTGGCCACAGGCCACGGCGCCCAGTGCTGGGGTGGCTGGAGACTCTCTGTGGCTTCATTGCCATAAAAGCCCTCCATGGACTATTCCTTGAGCTCACAGGATCCATGGAGGCCCCAAACACCAGGGTGTGAGCTTCAGTCACCCGCGGGGGCAGCAGCGGCAGCTGACCAGGCAGGAAGAGACGGAAAGAACAGGAAGGACCGGGCTTTAAGGTCCCCAAAGCCTGGCTCACGCATTCCCAAAGAGCAAGCCTAGGAGGCTGGGAAGGGAGGATTACCCCATTTATAGAAGAAAAACCAAGGCTGAGACTCAAGTCATGCCTTGAACCTGGGCCCCAGTGCAGCGGGAGGCCCTGCCTCGGCTCACCTGCGATGTTCATCACGGCCTGCAGCCCCGACGAGCACTGCCTGTTGACCGCAGACAAAGGCACCGTCTCTGGGATGTCACTGAAACAGAACACGCAGTGAGTCGCGTGACTGCCTCCCCTTCATGTTGGAGCCCCCGCGGGAGCCGAGGGGGAAGAGGGCGGGGCCAGAGGAAGGCGTTCTGCAGGGCCTGGGACTCTGCCCAAGGGCGTGAGGAGCACAACTCCGTGGTCAGGGGCAGACCGCAGCGGGAAGAGGCGCTAAGAAGACGGCCAATACGCGTCATAACTAGCACTGAGAGCGCGCTTTGTGATTATTACCTCGTTTGAGCCCAACAGTCGCTCTGTCCTCACCAGCTCCTACACTCGGCCTCGGGGACTTCCACACTGATTCCCCCTCAAACACCCAAACCACCCAGCTCCTCCACCTAAAATCCCCCCCCCACCTCGGTCACAAAGTGGACACGGCCGCCCTCCCGTCATCACCCACACAGGGACCACGTCCACGGCGCAGAATTCCGAAGCCCCCTGATCTGACCGTAATTCACTGGCTTTCTGCCTCGCCTTTCTCCCCTCACATATCCCTACTCTTCATCCACACTGTGACCTGCCGCTCCTTGACCCCTCAATTCTCTCCCCAGCCATCTCCTCTGCTCTAACCGCCCTCCAGCCCCTGGTCCTCTTCTCTGCAATCAGTGCCTCCTTCTCACTTCACGGGCTACACTCAGCCAAGCCCCAGCCTTGGCTCACTCCCACCGTTTGCACCTTTGCTTCTGCAACACACACACACACACACACACACACACACACTCCTGAACAAAGGTGGAGAAAATCCCACCGCCATTCTGAAAGGGTCCACCACACCTTTATGTGATGCAGCCTTCAGGAGGCCTTCACTGCTGCCCAGCCATCCTGCTCTCCCACCCTCCACACCTGCCTTTTTTTAAAAATTTTTTTCACACCTTCTCATCCCTCCTCTGACCTCCTGCCTGTCTCTCAGCTGAGACCCAGCCTCCTATTTCATGGAGAAAATTGAGGGCATTCCCCATGAGCTCCCTCTTGTCCTCAACCTCCTCCTGCACCCCCTGTCTCACAGGACACAGAGGCCTTCCTCCGGACCAAGTCTAACTCTCTCCTTGCATTAGAGATCCCCCTCCATCCGGCCCCTTCTCTCATCCCCACTCACTTATTTTCAGTCCCTCCTTCTCTACCACCTACAAACATGCCCTTGTCTCCCCATCCTCAAAAAAACCAAAAAAAAACAAAAACCCTCACGTGATCCTTCCCTCCCCACCATCCTCCTGTTTCTCCTCTTCCGCCCTTTGTACCCAAACTCCTGGAAAAGGCGCCTACAACAGGGGCCTCCACTTTCTCTCCCCTCACTCTCTTCTTAACTGCTCACAATCTGGCTTCCAACCTCATCAAAACCACTCTCTCCAGTTACTTGTTACTCAGTCGTGTCTGAGTCTTTGTGACTCCACGGACCACAGCGCGCCAGGCCCTTCTACCCTCCACCATCTCCCAAAGTCTGTCCAAGTTCATGCCCGTTGCTTCCATGACACTGTCTGTCCATCACATCCTCTGCCGTCCCCTTCTCCTTTCACCTTCAATCTTCCCCAGCATCAGGGTCCTTTCCAATGAGTCCTATCTTCCCATTATGTGGCCAGTGTATTTAAGCTTCAGGTTCAGTATCTGACCTTCCAGTAAAGAGCTGGAATTAATTTCTTTAAGTATCCACTGATTTGATCTCCCTGAGACTCTCACTAGCACAGCTCAAACACACGATTCTGCAGCGCTCAGCTTTCCTTCCAGTCCAGCTTTCACAGCCGTACATTGCTACCGAAAAACCCTAGCTCTGACTAAATGGACCTTTGTCAGCAAGACGACGTCTCTGCCTCTCGGTCTGCTGTCCGGATTTCCACGGCTTTCCTTCCGAGGAGCAAGCATCTTCTCATTTCGTGGCTACAGTCTCTGTCTGCGGTGATCTTTGAGCCCGAGAATAGGAAACCTGACATTGCTTCCATTTCTTCTCCCTCTATCTGCAGGGAGTGATGGGATCTTAGTTTTGTTTTGTTTTGTTTTAATGTTGAGCCTCAGGCCAGCTTTTACTCTCCTCTTTCACCCTCATCAGGAGGTTTCTTAAGTCCTCTTCACTTTCTGCCATCACAGCCGCATGGTCTGAATGTCCGAGGTTGTTGATATTTCTCCCAGCAACCTTAATTCCTGCTTTTGATTCCTCCAGCCCGGCATTTTGTATGAAGTGCTCCGCATACAAGTTAAACAAATCAGATGACCGCATACAGCCTTCTCACGCTCCTGTTCCAATCTCAAACCAATCGGCTGTTCCCCGTTCAGTTCTAACTGCTGCTCATCGCCCCACACACAGGCTCCTCGGAGACAAGGGGGCCTGGTCCTCCCATCTCCTTGAGGACTTGCCACATTTTGTTGTGATCTGCACAGTCAAAGGCTTTAAAGTGTAGTCAGTGAAGCAGATGTTTTGTTTTTTCTTCTTCTGGAACTTTCTCCACAGTCCAGCGAATGTTGGCAATTTGGTCTCTAGTTCCTCTGCCTCTTTGGAAAGCAGCCTGCTCTTCCAGTAGTTCTCAGTTCACATATTGCTAAAGCTGAGCTTGCAGAATCTTTAGCATAACCTTGCTGGCGTGTGAAATGAGTGTAATTGTTCCATAATTGGAATATTCTTTGGCATTGCCCTTCTTTAGGATTGGGACATAAACGGATCTTTTCCAATCCAGTAATCACTGTTGAGTTTTCCAGATTTGCTGGCCTATTGAGTACAGCACTTTAACTGCATCATCTTTTAGGATTCTAAATAGCCCAGCTGGAATTCCATCATCTCCACTGCCCTCATTGTTAGCAGCGCTTCCTGAGGCCTGTTTGACTTCATTCTCCAGGATGTCTGGCTCGAGATCAGTAACCACGCCATGTTAAGATCTTTCTTGTACAGTTCTGTGCATTCTTGCCACCTCTTCTTAATCTCTTCTGCTTCTGTTAAGCCCCTACAATTTTTTTCTTTTACCTTGTCCATTTCTGCATGAACCGTTACCTTGATGTCTCTAATTTTCTTGAAGAGATCTGTCTTTCCCATTCTACTGTTTTCTTCTATTTCTCTGCACTGCTCATCTAAGAAAACCCTCTTATCTCTCCTTGTTATTCTCTGGAATTCTACATTCAGTTCGGTCTATCTTTCCCTTTCTGCTTTATTTTTTACTTTCCATCTTTCCTCAGTTATTTGTAAAGCTTCATCAGACGCCATTTTGCTTTCTTGCTCTTCTGTTTCTTTGGGATGTTTTTTGTTGCTGCCTCCTGAACAACATCACGAACCTCTGTCCGTAGTTCTTCAGGCACTCTGTCTACTAGATCTAATCCCTAAATCTAGTCATCACTTCCACTTCACAATCATAAGGGCTGTTATTTACTAATACCCTCTGAATTGCCAAGTCCAATGGCTTTTCTCAGTCCTTACTTGAACCTTCTTGCTGTGGACACAGTGGGTCACTCTCTCCTCCTTGACACTCTCTTCTTTAAAGGTTTTCAGGACACCCTTCTCTCCTCTCCCTCTCCCTCTCCCTCTCCTGGTTTTCCTCTTACCTACTTGACTAATCCTGTCTCTTTTGCTAGATCTTCATCTAGCTCACACCCACTAATGGTGGCTGTCCCACAGGGTTCTGTCCTGGGCCCTCTTCTCTTCTCCCTCTATCCTACTTCACTTGGGGAGCTCATCAGTTCCCACGGATTTAATTACCATCCCTATGCTGAGGATTCTCAAGTCTCCTCATCCGTTGCTCATCTCTCTGCTGACCTCCAATCTCACCTCTTCAACCACTTTCAGTTGAAGGTATCTCAAACTGGATGTCCACTAGACATCTTAAGTTGTCCAAAACTGAACTAGCTCATCTTTTCATTTAACTTCCCCTATTTCCTACCTTCCCTGCTGCTGTGGGGGGCAACACCATTCTCCCAGGCTGCCAAGCTCCCACTGTCTCTCACCTCCCACTCCAACATGGTGCCAAGGCCTGTTGATTTCACCTCTGCAGGACCTCCAGAACACACCCCCTTCTTCCTCTAACACTGCCCCCACCCTGGTGCAAGTCCTCCTCGCTTCACAACTGAACCATTCCAATAGTCTAACTGGGGGGAGGGGGGTTCCTGCCTGCCTCCAGTCTTCACCCACTCCGGTCCGCCCTCCATTCGGCCACCAAAGAGATCTTCCTAAAGCTCAGGGCAGACCAGGTCACCCCCTCTCCAGTAAACTCCAGTAGCTTCCTGTCACCTCCAGGATCGAATACAAAACACTCTGATTGGCCCTCAAAGCCCTGCACGACCTGGCTTTCTCCTACCTTTCCAGTCTCCTTACAACTCATTCCTCAAAAGTCTTCAGTCCAGTGACTGGCCTCCCAGCTGTGCCACAAACAAGACCCTCCATCGCTCAGCTCCAGGCACGGTCTGTCCCCTATGAATGGACAGGCTCTCCCTCCTCCACTCCTACTACTGACCTCCCTGGTGCCTTCTAAGTTCCAACTAAAATCTCATCTTGGACAGGAAACCTTTTCCAATCCCTCTTAATTACAGTGTCTTCCCTGTTAATGATCCTCTATTTATCCCATTTGGGCAG